ATCGTTGAAGCAAAGAGGCTTTGCACCCGATACCAAAAACAACAAAACCAGCTGCTGTCATGGTATTTCCCGTCTCCGAGTTTTGCGCTCCAGCTCCTCGTGTTCTTTCCATCGTTTTCATTGTCGGTGGCTAATTCGTCGTTTTTGAGTTTTCTGATTCGTTTTGTTTTTTGAGTTTTCTAGTTAAAAAAGGAATCGAACGAATCAATCGATCGTCGAATCTACCGCTCGAGTTTTTAAAACCACTGCCTGATTACAGTCAGTGGCAATAAAATCCATTCAGGCACCAGAAGGATGGAATATACAACTCCGATCGCCATTCTCTTGACCAAGGCAACTTCTAGAAGAGCTATACTAGACTCTGTCTCTTCCACACCAGACGTACATTCGACTGATATTTTCACAGGTGCACTTTCTTTGCAATTCTTGCAAAATCCTTTCGACTGAGCATTCCATCTCCAGATCGGTCTACAAAATCCATCATTTCAACCAATTCCTCCTCTGTCAAATCTTCGTCTAGTTCCTTGGCGACTCGCGCCAAATCTTGCACCACGACCACTCCCTTACCACCGGTATCGATCAAATCAAAGGCCTTGTTGGATTTTTCCAACTGTGTCAGTTTGAGCGCAGCAAAATGTAAAAAGGATGATTCATCGAGTTGAATATCTTCTTCTTCGTTTGAGAGTGATCGAATTTCTTCTGACTTGACGTCTACTCCCAGTTCCTTCAGCGCTCTCTTGGATTCCCTTATCGATAAGGTATCTGATGATGATGATGATGATGAGTTCGGTCAAAAAGTGTAAGTAAATTGATATCTATTATTCTCGTCTCAAACCAACTTCTCGCACCTTTTTCTCCATCCAAAGATCGTTCGAAGGCCTTGAGTATTTCCTTCCGCTGGACGGGATCAATCAAGTCTTCTGGAGGAACGGTTGTGGGCCCCCGAGGCCGCTTCTTAGTCTTTCGTTTTGGTGGCTGTGAGAGTATATAACGCGAGACAGTCAGTAAAGGTCAAGAGACGATTCCATAGTTCATGATCCAATTGGTGCATTCAAAAAGACGTACCATGCTCTTCAGATTTTTTTATATGTGTTGTTCACTGTTGTTGTTGTTGTTGTTGGCATGAAATCGTTGACCGTCTTGCCGTCGTACAAGACAATTGCCATATCCGGTTTGAAAGGACTGATGTGATGATACTCGTACCAGGTACTACCTCTGCCACCGGAATCATCATCATCATTTTGTACAAAAGGAAAGAAGTCCAGTGTATTGCCAGGCTTCAGTATTGGCCAGGCTTATTAGTGCCTTTGTTGATTCTACATCCTAAATCAAACAATACAAATGAATGAAGATTCAAACTTAGATTCATCATGAAATATTTTTAAAAACAATACTACTTGAAACAAGGCAGCTTTGGAGGGAAGTTTCACGCTACGGGTCATTGGCTGTATCCTCTTCGGCAACTTCCAAAATCTCTCCCATATTGGTGATTTTCACAGCTCCCTCTGTTTCCTCGTCGATTTCGTCCAAGGGTTCCAAAAAGTTGCCTGCTACTTCCCCACCGGTGGTGATGGAATTGCCTCTGGAAACACTGCCTCGGCTCTTAATATCTGTAAAGGCATGAGTATCTTCCAGTGTTTCGTCACTCAAACGTTCTGCGACTGTGTGCAAATGAAGACTGTTCGACGCAGAATGATTCAATTTGGAAGACGAGGCATCCAAGTCCAAATGTCCCATCTTGTCTGTTAGAATATCGGTATCAAAGCCAGCATCTTCTAGACTGGATATGGAGGAACCTCCATCATAGGGAGATTTAGTTCCGGATGTTCCTCCTCCGCTTTTGCGTCGCAGAGCCTTTTCGAGTCGGGGTGGAATATCAAAGGATGACCCAGACAGTCGCTCGGTAGGTCGACTGGCATGAATTTTGAGAGGAGGGAAAATGTCTCCCACGTCTGTTGGATCATTCAAGGACAATTCTTCGTCTGGAGCTATTGGTTTCATGGATGTCACGCTGGTATCACTGGTGACACCAGTGATGGTAGTATTCTTGTCGGTGGCAATCGACATGTCTGTTTTCAAGCTAATTACTGCTTCTGTCATTTTGTAAATTCAGTTGTTTGTTTTGGTTATGTGGTGCTATCTGCTGTCTCTTAGTGACTTATCAGTGTTGCTATTCAGTGTTCTTGTAGTCTTTCTCGAAATTCGAGCGCTTCTCAATCGTGCTATTAGTTGTTCTTGTTTTGTGTTCGAGTTGCGTTGATGATGAAAAAACGGAAAACCTCAGTTTGGTGGAACCTTGCAATCATTCAATCAACTTTCAAACGTGGAAACTGCGTAGCGTTGGTACTGACAACGCACAGCTCTGAGCAACATTTATTTCTTGGTTCCATTTCTCGTGGCATCGGTGAACGTACGTGTACACGTGTACGTGTACGACAGAACAGTACGTTTTCTACACGAAGAGGTGTGCCAGTCTGACCGGTCATCGACCATAATTACTTTGAGTCTTGCCAGCGAGTCGTGTGGGCCCTGATCGCTCCCTCCTCCTCTACTCCGCCGAGGGAGCAATAAAAGTAGAATCATCTACCCTCGTAAGTGTCGAATGATGGTATTCATCTCTTCTTCATTTCCCTCCATTTCAGCTACCATTTTCAATTGACTCCTAGCACGGTCCAAGTTGTGATTGTCACGAGTCGTCTTGTAATAAACATCCCCATTCAGGTGATCCGCCAAGAAGCGTAACCCCATGGTGAACGTCACCATCCGGGCTACCAACACCAAGTGATCCATCTCCAATTCTGTCAAGAATTGTTTTGCAATGGACAAATATCCCTCAGCTACCCACTCAAAGATCTCCATGGAAAAGCCAACCTTGGTCAAGTCCATCTCATCTTCGGCAGCCAAAGCAGTAGCGGTCCGCACACAGTCTCCAAAATCATAAATGGCCAGTCCGGGCATGACCGTATCCAAATCAATTACACATAGGCCTTTTCCAGTAGCGTCATCAATGAGTACGTTGTCAATTTTGGTGTCATAATGAGTGATCCGTTCGGGTATTTTTCCGTCTTGTAAAAGTTTGGGCAAAATGTAGCTCTCTTGCTCCCGATCTAGACAAAATTGAATCTCTGGTTGACAATCCTTGGCCCTTCCATGTAAATCGCGTGATAATGCCGCTTGAAATTGGTCAAAGCGTACAGCCGAGTCTCCAAATCCCGGGATTGTCTCGTGCAATCTAGGTGGTGGCAAATCTGCCAAGTCCAACTGAAATTGGCAAAAGGCGGCTCCTGCCTCACGGAATATATTGATCGTCGTTTTACCATCCCTTATTCGCAAACAATAGATCCCTTTTCCAATTGGATACGCCGTAGCCCCCGATATAAAGGTATACATTCGCCAATGATTGCCTTGGTCGTCCACCACAAAGTATTCATGTTCTTTGCTCGTACTACACGACGACTCGGTGGTAGGGATTAGGGTCAGGGTTTCTCGTTGGACATCTCCACCTCGCTTCCGTATCTTCTCGGCCAAGTGCTTGGTCACTCGTTCTACATTGGACATGACTTTAACGGGTCGTGTAAAGACTTGGTGATTGATACGTTGCAAAATAAATGACACAACATCTTCTTTTTCTTCATTCGTCCCGGCCCGAAGAATGCTCAGCTTGTAGGTATCATTGATGAGGCCCGATCCATAAGGTTCTAGCGACTGGATCGTTCCTAACAAGTGTTGAAAGCGAGGGATCACAGAAGCTCGTAAGTGATCTTCCAGTGAGGAGTGGTCCATACTTTTTGAAAAAATAGTGTCAACCTTGGGTTTTTTTGTCGTACGAAATTTCATGTTGGTACACGTACACGTACTTTGACCCAATCGACTGCATGTTGCCTTGCAGTCGTCCGTGGCCATCAAAACCAAACATACTTTCAACTTGTACACTACAGTACCAAACCAAATCGAAGCCAATTCCTTCCACCGTGCCAAAGTCCTGCTCCAAGATGGATGAATCCGAGGGAAACTATGAAGCTTATGACTTGAAGACATGGTTAGACTTACCAGAGTCTAGCAATTGGATTGAAGTTTTGGATCCCAAGGTAAGATTGACGGATTATTCCTTCCAGTGATCGCATTCTTCATATTACAATTTTTATTTTAGAATGCCATTGCTAATCGACCACCATTTTGCTATTCTCGTTCTCAATTCAATCCAATTCAACTCAACTTCACATTCATAGGCCCACGTACTTGCCTATTGGGATCAAAGTGCACGGCCCGACGGTCGCATGTTTTCCCAAGCCAGACCCACACAGACTGTTTCTTCCTTGTTGAAACATTCCGCGGGGTCCGCCTTGGTCAAACAGGGTGATACCAAAGTCTTGACGGCCATTAGCATTGAAATTGGCCAACCGGCTCCAGAATTTCCAGACCATGGCGATGTCATGGTTAGCGTTTCTAGTACAACAACATCCACAGCATCCGCCTCCACACTTCAACCCCGGTTCTATGATCGACTCCAAGCTTGGTTGCAACGCATGTTGGACGATTTGTTGCCTCCCAAATTGAATTTACTAACGGGCAAGGCGTGCATTCGATTGGTTGTTTCCGTTATGATTTTGCAGGATGCTGGAAATCTCATGGATGCCTCCCTCTTATCGTGCATGGCGGCATGGAAGAATACAACACTACCAACGATGGATCACTTGATGGAATCGGAAGGGCGACTGTGGTGGAAGGAGAATCTAATGTCATCGGTATCCAACAGCGACACAACAACAACAACAACAACACAATCTGCAAGCGAGCAATCAAAGGAGTATAGAATATCATTGACCATGGGGATAGTACGGGATGCCAAATCAGATTCAATTAAATTCTTGGTGGACCCGTCGTCGGAAGAAGAAAAGCATACCGACGGAGAATTGACGCTGGTGGTAGAATTGCAAAGTCGAAAAATTCAAGTGGAATACACTGGGTCGATGGGTTTGGAAGCGTCGGACTTTGCACTGGCGTCCAAATTGGCCAATGGTCGTGCAGACGAATTGGTGTCCTTGCTATAAAAATTATAAAAATAGATAAAAAGCTCAAAGTATGATTTTCCCCTCTTATCAATCTTCCAAACCTATCGAATGTAGTATTCAATAAACTGTAGCTACAGCTTCACGCACAAACACACACACACAATAGCAACATGGCTGGATATACATCGACATCTTTATACAGTTGGTCATTTTTCCCTTAATGTCTGGAAGAAAGGAGCTTCAGAACCATGTCGTCCACTCCACGATGAGTTGCGACTAGGTGACGCCAATCCATGCCCCCCCACACACACACATGTATTGTTACAGAATATGAACGGTACTTTTTTCAACAAGGACGCCAATTGGTATTTAGGCAGTTTGTCCAATTTCCTTCATCATATCTTGGAACCAAGTTTCTGAAATATCAAAAGCCTTTCCTCCCTTGATTCGCTCGAATTCAATGGCACGAATGGGCATGCCCTCCTTTTCTTCATCTTGTCCCATGCAACCGGAAACGCCTTGAATGGCAGATTCGACACCTACTTTGGCGCAGTCGGCAATGAGCTTGCGGTCAAAGTCATTAGCGGCGGCGGATCGGGCAAAGTATCCGGACTTTTGGACAATGGTCTTTTCGGCACCAATGGCAGCGGAAAGATTCTTGGCAAAGTATTCTCCAGGGTTGATCTTGGCAAGAGAGACGTGTCCAAAGGCATCACGGGCAACTGTTTCGCCGCGGGATTCCATGTCCTTGATAATTTCTTCGATACCAGTACCTTCACCGAAAAAGACGTTGACGCATCCATAGGTATCCATCACCTTTTGTAGGCGTGCGGCCTCGGTTTTAAGATCAAACTTGGTTTCGGGGATCCAGATGGCATGGACATCTCTGGATTCCTTGTTGGAGGGGAAAAGTGGGCTGGCAAACTTTTGCGCGTTCAACGATTCGCGGTAGTAGGCAGCAGTCTTGGCAGTGAGGTATCCGCAGTCACGTCCCATGACTTCGTGCAAGACAAGCATGCGGGGGTTGGCAGAAGTTTCACTGACCACATTGGTGAAGAAGATGGCTCCTTGGCGGGCAGCAGTGTCGGCCCCGAAAGTTTGACGAATGGGGACAACGTCATTGTCGATGGTCTTGGGCATACCAACGACAACAACCTTGCCGCCGTGCTGCTCCAAAAGGTACTTGGAGAGAAAAGCAGCTTGAGTGTTGGTGTCATCTCCTCCAATCGTGTGCAAGACGTGAATTTCGTCCTTGAGCAATCGTTGGGCGGCAGCTTCAAGGGGAGTCTCGTCATCCTTGATGAAGCCACGCTTCTTGCAGTCGGCTTCGTTGGTCAACTGTAGTTAGTATCAATAAGCGTAAGGATGAATCGTGAGTTCAATGTCGTCGATGAAAATGCAGAAAAATGACAATTTTGCGGACAGGTAAAATTCACCCAACGAAGGAAC